GCTGGGATGAAGTGAGAGAGTAGCATTGACATATATACACTACCAAATGTAAAATGGATGGCTTGTGGGAAGCAGCTGCATAGCACAGGGAAATCAGTTCGATGCTTTGTGACGACCTAGAGGGGTGGGATAGGGAGGGTGGGAGGGAGGCTCGAGAGGGAGGGGATATGGGGATATATGGATACATATAGCTGATTCACTTTGTTGTACAGCAGAAACGAACACAACATTGTAAAGCAATTACACTCCAATAAAGATAAAAAAAAAAAAAGAGTATTCTCCCAATATCTATACTAGAGCTACACTCAAGGTGAATTCTCTTTAAAGTCAAGAACAAAACAAGATTTGTAACTATTTCCATGGTACCAGAGCTCCTAGTCAGGGAGGTAAGATAAGAAAAAGAAATAAAAGTTTTAATTATTTGAATGGAAGAAACAAAATCTATTTATAGTCAGTACAATTGCTTATATCAAAAACACAAAAGAATCGTTGGGTAACCTCTCAGAATAAGAAAGACGGCTTGGCAAATTTGCTGGATCAATAGTCAAAAATAAATTACATTTCTACACACTAGCAACAAAGAGTTATAATTATTAATTATAATATCAACAGTATAAGAGATTTAGGAATCAATGTAATGAAAACTGTGCAAGACCTCTACTGAAAAAAGTATGAAACTGTATTGGAAGATATTAAAAATCCAAATAAATTTTAAAAATACCATGTTCATGCATCAGGACACTCAGTATTATAACAATTTCAATTCTCCCCAAGTGGATCTATAGATTTAATATGAGTTCAATAAAAACCTCAACAGAACATTTTGTAGAACTCGATAAATTGTTTCTGAAATGCATATGAAAGCAAAAGCGTAAGAACAGTCATGGCACTGCTGGAGCAAATTAAGGTGGGAGACGTGCACAGTCAGATGTGCACGTCTTATTTTAACTGTGGTTATGGCTCAAATAATAAACCCAATAGGACAGACTAGACAGCCCAGAAATAGACCTTATGCATATGGAAACTAGATCATTGCAGGCACACACTGCAGCTCAGTGAGGAAAGGAAAATAATCCACGACGAAGAGAACGAATGATTATTCCTACCTCACACCATACCAGGGAATAAATTCCAGGGGATTTTAAAATGTAATATATAAAACTTTAAAAGGAATAGAAGAAAATATAGGATAATCTCTTTTCATTCTTGGGATAGGATGGATTTCTGAAACAAGGTGCACAAAACCCTAACCAAAAATAAGAAGATGGATACATTTGACTACATTAAAATCAATAATTTCTGCTTGGGAATTCCCCAGTGGTCCAGTGGTTAGGACTCCGAGCTTTCACTGCCGAGGGCCCAGATTCAATCCCTGGTTGGGGAACTAAGATCCTGCAAGCCATGTGGCATGGCCAAGCAAAAGACAATAACAAAAAAATCAATAATTTCTGCTCATCAAAGAGGTCACAACGAAAAGTGATAAGACAAGTCACAAAGTTGGGTAAGGTATTTGCCACACGTCCATGATAAAATATATAAAGAACTTCTACAAGTTAATAAGAAGAAAATGAAGCATCCAATAGAAAAATAGGCCAGAGAACACAAACAGGCATTTTATATAAAAGGTCCAATACACATATGAAACTTGACTCACTTTCCTAGTAATCAGGGAAGTGATAATTAAAACCATAATGAAACACCATTTTACTCTCAATCCATGGACAAAAAATCCCAAGTGTTGTTAATATTAAGTGTTGGCAAGAACTTGGAACAAGGAGGATGCCTATGCAGTACAGGTGGGAATGTGAATTGGTTCAACTCATAAGAAACAATCTGGTAGAGTTTTATTTTTTTAATATTTATTTATTTGGTTGCACTGGGTCTTAACTGCGGCAGGCAGGCTCCTTTAGTTGCGACTCAAGGGCTCCTTAGGTGCAGCATGTGGGCTCCTAAGTTGTGGCATGCATGTGGGATCCAATTCCCTGGCCAGGGATGGAACCTGGGTCCCCCTGCATTGGGAGCACGGAGCCTTAACCACTGTGCCACCGGGGAAGTCCCCAATCTGGTAGCATTTTTGTGAGTTGGCCATTTGCATACTATGTGGCCCAAAGATTCCTTTTCTAGGGAATACAGGTGCATATTAATAGAGAAACCCTTGCAGAGGTGACCAGAAGCCTTGTAGAAGCAATGTTCATTAACGCATTGCTGTAATAATAGTAAAAAGTCAGAAAGAACCCAAATATTCATTGTTAGAATAGGCAATTAAATTATATATTCACATAGTGCATTGATGCCTAGCAGTACAAATGAATTAAATACTATTACAGGTGTCAACATGGCTGAACCTTAGAAACACAAGGTTGAGGGGAGGAAAACAAATCAGGGAATAATCCATGTATTTTATTACTACTTTTATATTATTCAAATCCAAGCAAAACTACATTAAGAGCTTCATAGATATGTGGTTATAAAGACTTTTTTTTTTTTTTTTTTTTTTTTTTGCGGTACGCGGGCCTCTCATGGTTGTGGCCTCTCCCGTTGCGGAGCACAGGCTCCGGACGCGCAGGCTCAGCGGCCATGGCTCACGGGCCCAGTCGCTCCGCGGCATATGGGATCTTCCCGGACTGGGGCACAAACCCGTGTCCCCTGCATCGGCAGGTGGACTCTCAACCACTGCGCCACCAGGGAAGCCCTGTAAAGACTTTTAAAGCAAAGCAGAGAAACTAAGGATAGGAGTTACCTTGATTCGTTCATTAATATACAAAGATTGGCTTAATAGATGGAAAATTGGTATATTTTCATGATCGTCTTTGGATCTAAAAATAGATATATCTTTAATGTCCCTCATAGGATATAGAAGTGGGGCGGGGGGGGGGGAAGTAGAGGCTGGGATGATGTGGGAGCCTCTGAACATGGGAGCCAACAGTTCGTTTCACCCCTGAGCATGAATGCTTCTCCCCATATTGGGAGGTGGTCTACTTCTCCTCCACTTAAATCAGGGCTACTTTGGTGACTTGCTTTGACCAATAACGCACTAAAGTAATATTCTGGATCTTCAGATTCCAGGCTTTGAAAGGACTGGCACCTTACCCTTCCCCTCACTTGGAGCTCAGTTGCCAAGCTGTAAGGAAGGCCAGGGTATTGATTGGCACTCATTTGTAGCCATACCCTGGACGGCAGGGGCCATTTTGGATGGCCCAGCCCAGCGAAGCCTCCAGCTGAGTGCAAAGCACGAGGCAGCCCCTAGCCCACGAGGGCTAACGTCAGTCAGTGTGGAACTCAGCCATCCTGCAGAATTAAGTTCTGGGGTGGTTTGTTCTGCAGAAGCAAGAGGAGAGGGACATGCAAAGAATTCAGTGATATTGGCAGTCTTGTTTCGTGGGTTGGCTGTGGGGTCACCGTACTTCATAACTTACATGCTGGTGATTTAGATAGGGTATTCTGTACGTATTAAGTGCTTCACAATATAACATATGAAAAAACCCCAACTTATCAGATTGTATCTCCCTAGTTTTGATTTGTATTTTCTATGCAACTGTGATTAAACATCTGTTCGCGTTTAAGCAACGATCCGTTTGTATTTCCCTGTGAACTGCCTGCTCCTCTTCGTTGCCCCTTTATCTATTGGGTTGTTCATTTTTTCATATCGATTTATAAGAACTTAGCATATTAAGGAAAATAGCCCTTTTATGTCCTGTGTTTCTAAAATATCTCCCCCAGTTTGCCACTTATAAAACTTTTGACTTTGTGGTATGTTCTGTTGCACAAAAATTTTAATTTTTTATTAGTCCCAGTTATTATTACTGGTAGGTATCATGCTTAAAAAGACTACCCTCCTTCAAGATGATCTTTTAAATCATCTCAAGTACTTTTAAGATTTCATTTCATACTTAAAACCTTTGAATTAATTTTGTTACAGGGAAGCAGGACCCAGGTTAATTTTTTTGTCAAACTGACTAGCCAGTTGTTCCAATAAAGAACCCACACGTACCCCACTAACCTGAATTTCCTTATACTTAAGTTAACTTCTGGGCACTCCACTGTGTCTCATTGATCTTTGCTACACCAAAGTCTTTAATTCTACTAGGTTTTATATTTGTAGACTGTTCTCCCCCCCCCCCCCCCCCCCCCCCGCTTTTCAGGATTTACCTGGCTATCCCCCATGTTTACTTTCCTCAAATAACTGAATGTGTCAGTTAAAGAATAAGCCCTGTTGGCATTTTAATTGTGACTGCGTTGCATTTAGATTGGGAAATGTAACAGAACCCAACATCTCTGCAAGATTGCATTTGCATCTGAGAACAAGGCGTGTCTGCACTAATTTGAATCTTTTACGTCCTTCGCAGGATTACCTAGTCTGTGAGCCAAGGGTGTAGACACCCATCCTTGCCCCCAGGGCAGGACCCAGGTCGCACCTCTGGGGTCCACTCAGGCAGCTCCCACACCCTTCTTCTCTGCAGCATGTGACCCTGTGACTCATGTCAAACCCTACCTCAGATCCACCGACGTGGTTACTAATCGCCCAGAAAGTGTGGCGACACCGTCCCTGCGCTTAAGGACAAGCAATAATGATGTCATCTTCCGTGTAGAACTGAACCGGTGGTTTAGAGGCACTTAAAAGCAGCCAGGCCTTGGGCAAGTTGCATGATCTGCGGTCCCTTTTCTCCTCCCTTGCCTGTAAACTGAATCTACCTGGCGGGGAGTGACAGAACGAAGGGGACACCTACGTTCCATGGCTGAACCTCGGAGCAGGCCCACCTCTTCAGGGGCCAGATGCCAAGCCCTGTGAGTGAGCTGCTCCTTCCTGCCGCTCCCACCACGCCCACCTGCCCCCCCCCCGCCCCCACGGACACCTGCCCAGCCTACGGGTTGGAGGGCACCCGTCACCAAGCCGACACCCCGCCCCGCGCTCCCCACCCGCCTTTCCCAAGCCAAGCTGACACCCCTCCCCGCGCCCCCCACCCGCCTTTCCCAAGCCGGAATCACAAGTCAAAGATGTGTATTGTTCGACAGACACTTCTGAAAAGAGATCTAATTGAGAAAATATACAAGGCATTTAAGAGTCTCATCTCCAGCGAGCACCGAAGTCTGACTGGAGGCGTCGGAGCCCTCCTCTTCAGGGTTCAGGGCTGAGAAGGTTAGCACATCGAATCATCAGTAAAAACATGCAAAAGTGAGAAGGAAACGGAAAATAACGCTGTGTTCCCCCAAAGCAGAAGGGGATGGAATTTCAGAGCAAGGAGGCAGGGTGTACAAGTATCAGGTGGCTCTCCCTCCCTTCCCCCGGTTTTCCTCTCAAACGCCCCCGAGCAGGAGAAAGCAGGGAGCCCCGCCCACTCGGCAGGACCCACAGTGCATCCCTGCTCCGTGCTCAGCCCGCGGGGCTGCCCGTGGACAGGAAGACATCTCCCCACTTCTGCCCTGTTCCTTCTCTGGCTGTGGCTGCGGGGGACCCCGCTTGTGCTCCTGGGGGGCCAGGGCCCCCAGCCCTGGCTCCTTCCTTCTTTGGTTCCACCCGGAGATTGTGCTTGACGGATTCATCCCACTCCCCAAACTCCAGGCTCCCACTGGTGGGCTGAAGGCACTGACTGGAGTCCTGGGGAGACCCCCAGGACAGCCACCTTCCCCTGTGCTCTGGGCGGGTCCACCCCTGGGTACATTCCCTCCAGCCTCAGCGCAGGCCCGGGACAGGGGTGGGAGTGTGCTGTGCACGGAAAACAGCCTCTCAGACCTTTCTCAGCTGTGCAGACGTTCCTGAACCCCACTCCACCCCCCCGCCCCCAGCCCGCCCCTCGCCAGAGCCCCAGCATGCCTGGCCGTTCCCTCCAGTCCTCCCCTTTGGGCTGCCAGTGCAGCTGTGGGCCAGGCCCCCGGGGACCTGACCTCAAGATGGTGGTCACAGAAACCATCTTGGGGCGCTCCCTCCATCCCCCAGACTCAGGAGGTCAGCAGAGGGTGAGGCCTTGAGAGGTCACAGCTCTGGTACAGGGAGGCGGGCAGGGCTGGAGAGAAACAGGAAGACACGTCACATCTATGGAAAGGCGTCCAAAGTACAAGCTAAGCAAGGGGAAGGGCCAGAGTGGCCAGAAGAGAAAATGGAAGAGGGAAGGGGCGGGGCCTGGAGGGAGGGGCGGGGCTTCACGCCACCCCGCAGATGAGCGTCTCGACCACGAAGGTGTTCTCGAAGTGGCGGATGGCGTTGCAGTTCTTGGCCCCTCGCTTGTTGATCCCTGGGAGAGAACAGAGAAATCCCAGTGAGGCCTGTGTCCTGGCCTAGAACTGTCTGGGCCACAAAGGCCACCAGCCTCAGAGCCTGAGCAGGGCCTCAGGACCCGGGCCGGGGAGGAGGAGGCCCAGGAAATGAAACCCAGATTCACCCAGAGACAGCGCGGTACAGCGGCATGAGCTCAAAAGCTGGAGTCAGACCTCCCAGCTCGCCACCTTCTTGCTGTGAGACCTCAGAGGTGCTTCTTAACCTCTCTGTGCCTCCATTTCCTCATCTTTAAAAGGGGCGGCAAGAATAATGATGACAAGGATGAGGATGATGGTAACTTACACTCTCTTAGGAGGACATAAAGAGTGTAAAGCAGGGGGCTTCCCTGGTGGCGCAGTGGTTGAGAGTCCGCCTGCCGATGCAGGGGACGCGGGTTCGTGCCCCGGTCCGGGAAGATTCCACATGCCGTGGAGCGGCTGGGTCCGTGAGCCATGGCCGCTGAGCCTGTGCGTCCGGAGCCTGTGCCCCACAGCGGGAGAGGCCACAGCAGTGAGAGGCCCGCGTACCCGCAAAAAAAAAAAAAAAAAAGTGTGAAGCAGTGCCTGGCACGTAGTACGTGCTCATTAGCTGTTATTACTGCTGCTACAATCTGAGCTCTGACAGCTGGTCTCCAGCTACGCTGCCAGGCACTGCCAGAGGGTGGCCATGGTTTGGAGCTCAGGGCAGGGGCCAAGGTGGGTGGAGTCTGCCACTCACGCCTCCGGGTGGCCCTGCGCCGCAGCCGGTAGGTGTCCTTCCCGCTGCACAGGTGGTAGATGAAGGAGCCCAGGGCCTCCTTGTCACTGACATGCTCCGTGACCACCATCTCCTCCTGGATGATGTACGTCTGTGGGAGGTAGGTACCCCTCTGCAAAGGGAGTGGCCACAGCACTGGGTCAGTACCAGGGCTCGCCACTGTCGGTCCCCGACTGCCCATTGCGCTCGCCTCCCTCCTTCTGCTAGCTTGAGCCGAGCCCCCCCCAGCGCCTGCAGTGCCCATCCAACACGCCCACCCCCTCATCCACAGCCTGCATGGCTTGCCTTTCTGACGTGCCTAGGCACTATCTGCACCTGCACTGCCATGAGTCACGTGTGTGCGAGTCTGGTCCCACCCTAGGGAGAGTGCTCCTCGGGGGCAGGGCCCCCATCACCTCCCTGCACTGCTGACACGGGGCGACGCGGCGCATGGCCATGAACACTAAGGAAGCTGGTCTTGGGGTTCTGCCCAAGTGAGGGAGGCAGAACTGGGAGGCTGGTGGGGGGCAGAAAGGAGAGGTGTTGACTCTGAATGTGGGATAAGGGAGCTGGAGGCGGGGGGACCAACCTGGGGTGCTGGGTCCAGCTGACAGCAACGCCCAGGCCCCCCATCCTTCCCTTGTCTCATGGAGGGAGGACAAGGGAGAGAAGATGCTGCCGGGGCCCTGCTCACCTTCACATTCATGAGGAGCTCCCAGAAGTTGCGAGGGGGCAGCACGATGGTGGTGTTGAGCTCAATGACATAGCACTTGTCCAGGGAGATGTCGTGATAGGCAGTGAGACCCTGAACAGGAAGAGGGGGCCGCGTCAGTCTCCGCAGGTGAGGGACTGGCCCCGGCGGGCTGTATGAGGCACGAACCCCACCGCACCCATGACGCACCCAGATTCCTCAGCACCGGGGCGGGGACCCCTTCTCCCGCTCCTCTCCCAGCCTGTGTTTGTAGAAGGTTCCACTCACTAGATGAAAACACTATTAAATGCTTCGGTTGTGACAAGGATTCTTCTTGGGGGTATACAGCCGAGGTTTGAATTTCAGGGCAACGTCCCCCCTGTGCATCTCACCAAAGCTGGGAGGTCCCACCACCCCTATGGACAGCCTGGACCCTCAGTGAGAGATGCCCCTCCCAACCCCGGGTGCTGCATCTCGATAAGATGTCAACACGGAAACAGCTCAGTAAAAAGGAACACTGGCCTCGCCTGTTCCAGCCAGCGTCCGCAGCTGGCAGGTGGCCAAGGAGAAAATCAACCGTGACTAGTTCACATTCAGTGATAACCGCATGACGTATATGATAAAAGCGGTCTCTTTAAATCCCTGATTGACCTAAACCGTAGATATCTACTCCATGGTTTATATTACACGGTATGTACTCCAAGTCTGTACAAGGGGCGTGGGCGTCCTCCTTTCACACCTGTTCCTCCTCGTGGCACCCCCCCCCTCGCCGCGCCGCCCCCCCGCCCCGGGTCCCTGGCCGGCCTCACCCGCTGGAAGTCGTGGATGATGTCTGCAGGGTCACCGCCCCCAAACTGGGGCACCGGCACGTTGATGCGCTCGTAGTTCTCCTCGAGGTAGATCTTTACGTCCTCCTCCAGCTCCATGCGGGTGCGGGCCTGCGAGGTCAGGGAGTCCTCGTAGAGGACGCCGCAGTGGAAGAAGTTGTCTCGGGCCAGCTGAGCAAGGAGGGGGGCGGGGGGAGAGAGGGAGGGAGAGAGTCTGGTCACACAGCGCCCTCCGTGAGACCACTGCTGCCTGCCCAACCACTCCCAGCTCTGAAGGCCTGGGGAGGCAGGGAGGATGGGTCTGTGACACCCATTTCACAGATGGAGAAACCAAGAAACATGGGGAGTCAGGGAGGGTGAGCCGGGTCTGCCAGTTCCTAGGAGGACGACCTCTTTGGGCCTCAGTTTCCCCATCTGTAAAACAAGGTGACCTCTCAGGCCCCTCTGGCCTCCGAGTCCATGAGTCTATGGCTGTGAAATGGGGCAGACCAGCGGGGGGACAGACACCTGAGAAAGAGCCTGGGGTCAGAGGGGTGTCCTCAGGGGCAAACAGGGGGACTCTGGGTTGGACAGGCTGGGCCCTGCAGGGTGCCACCCTCCGCCACCACCAGGGGGTGCTCGCCCGCCCTTCTTGCCCCCTTTGCGGGGCCCTGCAGACCTTGGAGGGAGGAGGCAGGAGCTGAGAGGCAGCCGTTATCAGATTCTGGTGGCACCGTGTCCAACCTCAAGCAAGGACCCACCACCTTCCCTGGATCCTGTGCTTCCTGAGAAACCTACACAAACATGGTGTCTCCTATATGAGGGGCACGCCTAATCACTCCATCAGTAAGGGAAGGGAGGGAGGCAGCCTGGCGTGACCGAGGCTACGTGACTGACCGGTGGACCGCGGGCCCCTCGTACTTCTCCAGGGCCTCCTCCAGGTCCAGCCCACGATGGGCAGACACCCCTTTGTCTGTTTTAGTGTAAGCTGTCCCGGGAGGATGAATCATCACACAGGAATCATACTGTCCCAGGGTGTAGACCCAGAGGCTGCTCTGAGGTTCTCCTACTCCCTGGGAATTGGGGTGGGGTGAGGAACCCCAAGAGGGCATGAGGGGGGGCTGGGATCAGAGGGGAGGTCCAGGGCAGGGCCACAGCCGCAACAGGAGAAGGCCCCAGAAAGTGACAACCAGGAACAGGTGGGGAAGCAGGCCGTGGATGGAGGGGAGCTGAGGTGTCAAGGGTAAGGTCACATGGACTGCAAACTCTTTAGTCATTTCCACCGTAGAAAAACTGGATGACAACAAAGTCAAAGTCCAATGCTTGAGGGTGGGAAGAGGTCACTTGGGTCATAAATGACTGGCAATTCCCAACCTTTTTGTCACCGAGATTCCCCATTCGTTATGTTTATGGTTATTCTATTAAGCAACCTTTCATTTAACTACCTTCAGTTCTGAGAGCTTGGTGGCCCTGCCTCCCTCCCCAGGCCTGGGCTGATCGCAAGGTTGCTGTGACCACGACCAGTTCTTTGGCCCAGCCCAGTTCTTTGGCCCCGCTTCGTGCCCAGCTTGGTTGTGTGAGCAGATAACCAGGGTGTGATCATAGGTGGAGATGACTGTCTATAAGCCACCCTCCACCCTTCATGGTTTATAGCCCAAATGTCCACGCGTGGAATGTAAGTCCTTAGAGCAAGATCCATGGGCACAGGGGCCGGGCTCTGAAGGGATCGCAGAGTTCCAATGTCTGCTGCACCTGAGTTTCTGGTGCTAATGCCCTGGGGTGACGCTGTGGGAAGGGGCTGCGGGCCTCACAGCCCAGATTCCAATCCCGGCTCCCCCATCGCCGACTGTGCTCCTGGGAGAGCTCCCTGTCACCCTCAGATGCAACCAAAGAGCTAGGTAAGGACACGCCTCTGGAGCCCATGGCAGTCAGAGGACGGGGACCGGTCCTGTCTCCCGGACCAAGACCAGAGAGAAGGAGGCAGGTCTTCTGGGCTTGCCCGGGCACCCCTCCCACCTAGGGGGCGTGTCCAGGGCTTCCTGCTGTCCCCTCCTCTCTGCGTTCACAGGGCCTGATCCTGCCGGCCCACACGGCCCACACCCGCGGCAAACGCTCGCCCTGCCCTGCCCTCTCTAAAACGCCACTCTTTCTCCAAGGCCCCGCCTCCCTCCGCCCCACCTCACCTGAGCGAGGAAGAAGTATCTGTAGATGTAGACAGAGGCGAACACCAGGCCCATGAGCAGTACGACCATGCCCATCGACAGGTAGCACAGGCCGCCCACAGAGCTCCCCTTCTTGTAGCGGTGGTAGGGGGGCCGCTCCTCCTGTGGACAGCAGTGCAGGGTCAGCCCCGTGGTGGCCCCGCACCCCTGGGAATCCCTGCCACCCCTTTCCGGAAGCGAGACCTCACTCTGCTGGCTGGGAAGGAGCCTTGGAGCAAAGGGAGGGGAGGACGACGCTCAGGACACACAGAGCATCGTCTCTGGAAGGAAAGGAAAGCGTTACCAGGACTCCCCAGCTGTTCCCATCTAAAGAGAAACGGAGCCCCACCTTGGACCCACGGGGACTAAGCAAGCGTGTTTTGAGTCACCCACGCCATTAGCCCCCTTCATTATACCAGTTGTGACCACAGTAGATTCTTTCAAATGTAGAGGGAGGGGGGAAGCACAGATATGGCCTTGGTGACTGAGCCAGGCCTAGGAACCTGTAGGAACTGGAGTGACTGGGCTGGCAGGGAGCCGCTGCCCTGGGCAGTGGGGACCAAGGAAGGCTTCGGAGGTAGGAAGTGACAAGATCCACCTGAAAGCTGGAGTGCCCAGAGGGACCGGGATGGGGACAGTGGGGGTGGGGAGTCTGCTGGGCTCTTCCAAGGAAGCTGTGGCAGGAAACGGTCACTGACCAGTGGGGACAGGGCTCTGGGAGGCCCGCAGGGTCTGGGCGTGGGAGCTCGCACCCTCCGGCCACCCCGGGCAGAGGCCAGCCTGCCGGGGCGGCGATGGCATCACACGGGCGCTGGTGTCGAGCAGGCTGTCAGAAGCAGGCCCACAGGGTGAAGTCTGGAGGCTTCCGGAAGCCTCTGCCGGGAGGGGAACGTGGCTGCCGGCGGGCAGGCCAGGGCAGGAGGTTCCTCCAGGCTCAGGTCCGGGACAGTAGCTGCAGGACTGCCAAGGAGCAGCAAGCCAAGCGGACCCAACTCCGGTCCGCACACGTCTGGGCCAGTGGCCGGAGGCGTGTGTAAGGCTCGGCAGCCCTGCGTTCCCTGGGGCGCTGGACGGAGAATCTCGTGACTCGGGCTCCTCCCAGCTGTGTGAGCTCGGCCATCGCGCGTCTTTGTGCCCTTCCTCACCGGCACCCCTGCCCTAACCCGGGCCTCCTTCACCCTGGAGATGTTGCAAGAGCCCCAGGCCCGGCTCTGCCTCTGGGATCCATCATTCAATCCCTCCTCCACGGTGTCCGGATGCAGCCGGGCGAGGGTAGAGGCCAGTGCCCCTGCCAACCTCAAGGAGCTGTGGCAGAGGTGGGGGGGCAGGAGGGGAGCCTGGGCCTTCTCACTCCGGCCCCGCCGCTAACCGTCTGCTTAGCGCTCTGTGCCCGCTTCCACTCTTCCCTCATCCTGCTTAGCGGGAGGTCGGCAGTGGGGACATGATGCAGGTCCAAGTTACCCAAGACAGGCCTTTATTCTCAGGGCGCACAGGGGGCCCAGCCTGGTAGGGGCGGGGTGCAGGGCCTGCTGTGCTTGGGGCACATGGGGGTGTGGGACCTGGGCCTCAGGGAGTAGAGGGGCATCCCATCAGAGTGGGCGATGCCTCCCTGCTTGGAGCGCTCCCCTCTCCCCACACCCTTTCCTCAGGAAAAGGGTAGAAAATGCCTGAAAGACACCCCCCCCCCCATCACGAGGCACGTGTATCACCAGGCCAGTGGCCCCCAGCCTCCAGCACCATGGGATGGAGACACAGGATGGAGAGGTGACCCGGCCCATCCCATACCCCCTCACAGGCTGGGCCGTCTGCAGGCCTGGGGCCTCTCCCCACCCTGGCCCTGCTGCAGGGGTGCTGCGATCGAAACCAGAGAAGCACCTGATGAGACCACCCCCCTGGCTGGCACCTCCTCGGCACGCTGGGGCTCCCTGGGGGCAATAACCAGGGTCACTAGCACACTTGGGTGGCCACTGCTCACAGGGCCTCCAGGGACAGCTGCCAGGGGGAGGGGGTGGGGGACTGCAAGCGTTTTGACTTTCCAACGGGCTCCCAGGATCAGCCCAGGATGGGGCGACCCGATGACCAAGCTCTGCCAGTGTCTCCAGGAACAAGCCACCCAGGGGCTCCAGCCATCCTCAGTGGCTCCTAAGGAAAGGTGGGTGACGCAGAAGAAAGGCGCCACGCCCACTGGGAATCCTGCCCTGGAGGCACAACATTTGTATTTAGCGAGACCAGTGGGGCTGCAGGGACCCAGAGGCCCCCAGCAGGGGCTGCGATCCATGCGTGGGGAACATCCCAGCCTCCGGACCCTCCAACCCTCTGCAGGTCCTCCTGTGAAATGTGAACAGACTCCTCCTGACAGGGTTTTGTTGGGATTAAAGGAGACAGAGACCCTGAAAGCCCTTTGTAAAGGATAAAGTGGTAGATAAAAATAGCAGATCTTTATCAGCTAAAGCTCTCCTTCTTTTTTTTTTAGGGCCACCACGAGCCAGCTGTCGAGGCTGCACAGTGGCCATGCTTTGCTCCTGCAAACCAGAAAAGCAAAAGCAAGCTTATGAGAACCGCTTTTAAAAAAACCAGAAAACAAAAAAAAGTCAATGGGCTACAAAGCAAGAGCCCGAGGGCCAGCTCCACAGTTGAGGTTCACAGACGAGGGGAGGCCTGCCAGTTTTATAGCTTCCTTTCTGCTCCCGGCTGGGTCAGGTGTTTCTATGTGCCTGGGGGAGGGGCCGGGCAGGGGGGCCAGGCTGCCCCAGGTGGGGAGGTGGTCAGGGAGGACGGAGAGTGGGGAGCGGCTCCAGAGGAAAATGAGGCAAGTGGCTGAGGACAGCCTCCAGCCAGGACCCCTGGATCCCACCCTGTGTCCTCACACGTCTCTGTGGGTGTGCCTGTGAAGGCTGGGGATCCTCCCCTTTCCTAGAGCTGTGGACAATGGCTTCCTATCCTGCTCCTACAGACCCCCTAGGGCACACCCATGGCTCACGCCCTGCACCCCTCCCTACATGACACGCAGAGGCCAAACCCCCAGAAGCATCATGGCTGAGCAGGAGGGATGGAAGGGAAAGCAGGACCAGAGGCTGCTGGTGTCCCGGCTTCGAGACAGAGGCACTGGGACCGGGACGTAAAGCCCCAGGTGGGCGGGAGGCCCCTGAATCCTGCCCTCGCTGGCAGTGCTTGAAAGGTCAGCCCCGAGCTGCAGCCCTCAGAGGCCTCTGGGGAGCCTGTAAGCAGCCTGGGCTGGAACCTGGGGCCTCACCCCTTAGGATCCGGGCTGCGCAGCTCACCCAGAATGACAGGAATGACGGCCGAGGGGCCTGCTTCCCGAAGCCCCCAGCTGCTTCACCTGTCATGCTGGAGCCCCAGGAGAAGGCCCCCCCTCCACGGAGCAGTTACCCACAGCCACGCATCTGGGGGCTTCCAGAAAGTAGAAAAATACTGCTTCCATGGCAACTGGGCTTCCTGAGCCACAGGCCTCGCCATGCACTCGTGTGGGGCACGTGGGCCACATGTCCGGGGACCCGAAAGGGGCCCAGGCCTAGGCCTGCCTGTTTCACGGAGCCTGCAGTGGAGCTCCTTAAATGATTAGGCAAAGCCAGGGCCAGAAGAGCCAGGGGGAACCCAGCCAACTTAGGCATTAACTCAGAAGACCCGCGGGGCTCATGGACAGAGCTCCCCAGCTACCTTCCCTCGGTAAGGATGTCGAAATGAACCGCAAGCAGAGTAACTACAGTTGCAGGCTGCTCGGAGGCGGCTAGCAGGGGAGCCAGAAATGCAGCCACAGCAGGCCCGGGCAGACGGCTGGGGGCGGGTCTCGCCTCACCTCCCCAGCGCCAGTGCCCCCTCCTCAGCATCTTTCTTTCCCAGGCTGCAGACCACAAAGGCAAGGGCACCAGTGAGAGAGAAAGAGAGAGAGAGACAGACAGAAGCCTAGCAGGGGTGGGGGGACTGGGCCTCTGCCCACGGAGCATGCAGAGCTGTGCTCAGACGTACAGACGTCAGCTGGGTAAATGCTGATAAGGCATCGTGAACTTGCCATCAGGGAAACCCACTCCTGCCCTGGGACCCACCGGTGCCCACGGTGCAGGCCGTGTGAGGAGGAAGGGCACGGACCCCGAGGACACTCCCGACAGCCCTCTGCACTGCTCTGCTTGGCTGGGCCAGGCAGATTCCCTCTTCTGTTCTGTACCTGACAGTCAGGGTGGGACCCCAGAGAACAAAGGCTGGGGGGAGAGAAGCAGAGCTGCGGCTGGGAGGGCTCTCCTGGGGGAGACACAGCGCGGAGACACTGCAGGGGCTGCGCTTCCCTGCTCTTACCATAAACATTTTTTTTTATGGTAAGAGAAACTCATCCTCTGTGGCAATCTGCTGACAGCCTTGAAACGTGCAAGGATGGGCCGCGGGGAGAACAGAGAAGAGGGAAATGAGAGAGAAAGCAGAAAAGCCACTGCGGCACAAGTCTAAACGCCACAGCCCCTCAGGAAAGGCCCAGGGCAGGCGGGCAAAGGGCAGGACTGCCCATTCACCAAGGTCCTCTTGGCCCAGGCCGCAGGGCTGGCGGGGATGGGGCACTGGGGCAGGAGGACGCCAAGCCCTGCGATCCACCCTCCTGGCCGGCAGGGGACCCTCCCCCAACCGCTCCAGGAGACTCAGCTCCCTCCTGCCCAGGACCTGAGGCCAGGATGAGGAAAGTGAAATCTGATCCCCAGGTATGCGGGCCGGGGGAGGGGGTAACACAGGGGCCATTAATCAAAAGCAAAAGCCAAGGAGAAAATTCCAGCGCTGAGATGACTGTACTGAACACGGTTCCCTCCCCTTGCAGGCCCCCAGCCCGGACTGTTCGAGTCTCTACATGCCCACACCTGGCTGTGTGTGTGTGTGTGCTCGCGTGCACACACATGGGGGAGCAAAGACACAGGCAGATCGTAGGGAGAGGGGAACTGGGCTGAGAGGCCCAGGGCAGGCCAGCGGGCCTCCAAAGGGGAAGAATCCAGCCAGAGCGTACTAAGAGGGGATGCTCCCCGTCCAGCCCACCTTCCAGGCTGGCTTGCTGCCAGCTGCCCATCAGCGCAGGCCCCTCCTCATCTGGGAGGCAAGCACCACATGGGGGGGGGGGCAGCTGGAGGCGCAGCTGGACCCTCACACCCATCCCTTCCTGGCCACCGAGGCACCTCCTTCCAGCGGCACATGTGAGGACAAAATCCTCCTTGTTTCAGTTTTTACTCAGAAGCAGGGGGAGGCCCAGTGTGAGAGTGTTCCTGCCGCCCTACCCTGGCCCCTGGGGCCTGCACACAGGTTGAAATTTTATTAGGACAGCCAGAGGGTGGCTCACTGGTGAAAGGCACTCGTGAACTCATCTGTTCATCGAGTGGTCCTTCCAGGGCTTTAAATCTTATTTTCGAGTCCAGTTCAGTAACCAAGGAGGGTTCCAGGGTCACCCCGAGCTGAAACAGACCTTCTGATACGCTTTCCTCCGGCAGGCCCGTCAGCGCGGGACAAACCCAGATGTCCTGAATGATGAAGCAGCTCCTAGGGCTCCCAGTCCGCTCGCCCCAGGCCGATGCGGTCCTGGGCTGCTGTGAATGCTGGGCGTCTGCTGAGCTCACTGGGCGACATAGGAGGCAAGAATGGGGGGGCCTTGCTCTACGTGGGGCACTGGATGTGGGGGAAACGTACCCACTGGCCAGGCGAGGCCACAAGAGGCTCATAGAAGTGCACTCTCTCCCCAAGGCTCCGATTCCACTAGGCGACTGGCAGAGCCAACATGCGACACCCCAAAGCCTCCCCTGATCCCCTGAGGGCCAGTGAGCTGTGAAAGCTTACTAATAAGCAGATCTGTCCTAAAGGGGCTGGGATTTTCATCTTCCTCCAGGGGCCCCATCGCTCCCCCTTGCCAATTAAGACAGCCAGGAGACCCTACCCAACTAACAAGGGCTGGGGGCGAGGCACACTCAGCAGGCTCAAAGCCATTGAAAACAGCACAGGGAAAATGTTGATATTTCCATTTCACGCTGGATGAGGGGGAAGAGAGGACGCTTGACTTTGGAGCCAGAAGCTGGATGTCAGTTACCGCCAAGGCGACGCTGGCATCTACCATCCCGCCTGACACCCGTCAGCTGCTGCCGGAGGATGTGGCACTCCTGTGAGATTCGGCAGACCTTCTGGTGGGTTTCAAATCCATCCTTCCACTGTCTGGCTGGTCCTCCCTCCTGCCCGAATCCTATAGCTTTTGGAGGCAGGGTCCAGTTTTCCAGGCCTCAGCTGGGTGCCTGGCCCTGGGAGTAGCAGCTGGAGAAGACAGGAGTGGGTGTGCTGCCTTGGGCCCCCAGCCCTGCACCCTCCAGGGGCTAAGTGGAAGGGAGGAAGGAGGTTTAAAGGGCCCCCTGCAAACTTTTAAAGCTGCAGGCCATGCCTTCAAATATGAAGTGTCCCCACCCCCAACTAAGCATCAGAAGCAGATGGAGCTGCTCTGGTGGCGGCTGCAGAGCACCCCACCCCCTGGAAACCCAGCCCCGGGGGTCACTGATGCTGCAGCGACCACACCAGGGCAGGGGAGCGTGCCAAGGCTCTTCCTGGAATTCCTCACTTAGGTGTCTTTGCTCTGGCTATAACACCCACCTCTGAGGACCCTCTCCTGTGTCCTCTCTTCCAGGGCACAGGTCATCCTGAAGCACCCACCCTCCCATACCCCCCCCCAGCAAGGTTTAGTTTGAGCCATCAACTTGGGGAGGGGCCTTGGCGCTGAGGAAGACTTCCCATGGGGGGGGGGGAACGGGAGCTTGGTGCGCCCCAAGAACGCCAGGAGCGACGGCCGCGTGGAAGCAGCGTAGACACCTCTGCCGAGACACTATAGAGCCAGGCTGGACCAGCTCTCTCTCCCTCCCCTCCTTGCCCGCCACGCGTCCTGCCCCCTCTGGGCCCTCCCCCGGTCGGACTCCACGCAGCTCAGACAGTTTTCCACGGCGGAAATGCCTCTTCTCCCCCAGGCCGGAGGGAAAGGGAGGGGGGCGGGGTGCACCGAGGCCCGCCTCCACAAAGCGCAGCCTGGGTGCTAGAGGGCACCAGGGCACCGCGGAGTGGAGGGGGTAGCCCAGTGCGCGAGGGAGCCGGGAGAGGAAGGAAGAGGGCAGGAAGGCCCAGGCGGCAGGGGGGGCGGTGGGATCAGGGCACCCAGCCTCGTAACCCCGAATCTCGAACCCCGGACGTGCGGCCAGGCGGATTCTGGTTTATCTCCATTTCATGTATCATCGCTTTCTGGTCCACCAATTCAGGTGCAGACCAACAGCACATCCCTTGGCCCCAGCAGTCCCCCGTTTGGGACGCAATCAATAGTCCCGCCCCCTTCGTTGGCACCAGAGCCCCTCTCCCCATTCCCCACCAATCACAACCCACCGCCCTACTTTGGGGAAACAATGTCCAACCCTCCTCCCATCCCCCACCTGGGGACTCGACCCGCGGCCCCTCCTCCATGATTGGAAACAGACACATATACCCCCACCGACATTCCTCGAACCTCTCCGGACCAGCTCCCTCCCCTATTCGGGGCCAGGCGCCTAGGGCTCGGTCCACTTTTGGAAGAGACCTTGAGCGCTTCCTCACCTGGGACCATCGACTCGGAGCCCCTCCCATTCTTCAGACTTAAGCTTTCGGCTGCCGCAGAGGGCCAGGACCCAAGGCCCCTCCCCATTCTGGGATGGATGACCCATTCCGGAATCCCACCCCCGGTCCGCTCGAGACTCCGGGGTCCCGATGCGCCTCGGGTAGTCGCCGGGGCCGGCAAGGCGCGCTTCGACCCCCCGTCCCTCTCACCCGAGACGGCGTCAGCAGGATCTCAGCGGCTGGGGCGGGCGCCGGGGCCGAGGCCGAGGCCGAGGCCGAAGCCTTGTCGGCCTTGTCGCCCTTGATACCGGCCACCGCGGGCTGGAAGCTGATCTTCACCATGGCTGCGCCGGGCCGCGCGTCCGCCCTGCAGCCTCCGGCCGTGCAGCCACTCTCTGTGCAGCCTCTATCTGTACCACAGCCGCTCGGTTCTCCGCAGGCACCGGAAGTTTGGATCGCGTTGGGTCCTTTTCTCTAACCCCACCCCCAGCCCGCCCCGCCCCCGCCCCCCCCCAAGGGAGGGCCTTGGCGCCCGGCGCGCCTGCGCCCCCCTCCCGCTAGCTGGGCGCGCAGTGACCGCTGCCGGGCGCTGCCTGGGGAAGTCTAAGGTTCCTTTAACCACTCACTCACTCACTCCATCCATCCATCGCATCCATCCATCCATCCATCCAATCAGGCATGGACTCAGTCCCCATCGCTGCTTTATCCCTTCCAGCTGCCTCTCCAAGACCAGCATCTCCAGAACATACAGTCTTTGTTAAAACCGTGTTTGCCAGGCAAATGCATCTTCTAGACAAGCTCCCCGTGCCCTCTATCCCACTTCATACCCTCCTCTTTGGAAATGCTGGAGCCCCCACTGAACCTGCCCACACCGCTCCCTCCTCCCACTTCCTTTTCCGACGTGTCCTGGGCCCTGGCAGGAGGCTTCAGGGCCAGGTGCCCAATTGCTTGCCTTTATCCTGCATCCTGCATCCATCTACACCACCTTCATTCTCCATCATCCTTTTTCCTTCACCCTTAATTCCTGCAGAACCTTCCTGGGGGTGCACGCGGAGGACACTGGAAGCAGAGAAATGAGGGCAGCCCCTGCTCTTTCACTCTCTTGTGTAACCTGTGGCCTCAGTTGCTGAGTGAAGGGTTCTGTTGGCCATTTCTCACCCACCCAGGAGGATTACGGCAAGTGTGATGGGAAGATCCGCAGGGCAGGGTGTCTGGTGGCTCAGTCCTCATCTCACCTGGGATGCCTTTGGGCTGCTCCGCCGCACCCTCACCTGTGACGCGTGCCTCTCCCCATCAACCCAGTTGAGGAGCCAGGATTGGCCCCAGTAGGAAGGTCTCCTGGAATCAACCCCATTGATTGAATGGGGTTGAACCCCATAGTTGAACCCCATAGTTCATTTTAAAACTAAAACCCCAGATGTGAACTTTTACATGTGTTTTACCTCTTTCCCCAAATTGAGTAGTTGAGTGCCGTTCTTAAAAAACATCTGGTTCATTACAGTTTAAAGCACTGGTTATTTAAGACGTAACAATGGTAATTAAGAAGGTCAGTGGAGACGCTTACTGGAAACGCAGTGGTCTCAGACAAGTGTATCCCCACGACCCTCCGAGTTCTATCAGCTCCCCAGAACTTATTCATCTTATAAATGAAAGTTTGTACGCTTTGACCAACCTCTCCTTATTTCCTCCACCCCCCAGCCTGTGGTAAACACCATGCTGTCTCTGGTTCTATGAGTCAGACTGTTTAAGGTTCTACGTACAAATGAGTTCACACGTAGTATTTGTCTTTCTCTGTCTGGTTTATTTGACTTGGTGTAACATCCTCCAGGTTCATCCATGTTGTCACAAATGGCAGGATTTTCTTCAGTTTTACAGCTAAATAGTATTTATTTTACATAGACACACAGTCATCCATCAATGGACACTTAGGTTGTTTCCATGTCTTGGCTATTGTGAATAATGCTGCGATGAACATGGGAATGCAGATATCTTTTCAAGATACTGATTTCATTTCCTTTGGCTAGATCCCCAGTAGCGGAATTGCCAGATCACATGGTAGTTCTATTTTTAATTTTTTGAGGCACCTTCATACTGTTTTCCATAATGGCTATACCCGCTAAGTATATCAAAGAGAGCGTTCTGCTGAAAACTATCAGTAGAAAGAGACAAATCTCTGGAAAATCTAATTAATAAATAAGAGAGAAAATATTAATACATTTCTATATCCTATAGAAAGAAGATGTAACTATAGACAAGGTGGATATTACAAATCATAATGTATTTTATATACAATCATATCTAATATATATATTCTGAAGTGATGATTTTATGGAGAAGTATAAGTGGCCAAACGGACTCAAGAAGTAGAAGGGGACTTCCCTGGTGGCGCAGTGGTCAAGAATCCGCCTGCCAGTGCAGGAGACACGGGTTTGAACCCTGGTCCGGGAAGATCCCACATGCCGTGGAGCAACTAAGCCTGTGAGCCACAACTACTAAGCCTGCACTCTAGAGCCTACATACCACAACTACTGAGCCCGCACCCCTAGAGCGGGTGCTCCACAACAAGAGAAGCCACTGCAATGAGAAGCCCGTGCACCACAACGAAGAGTAGACCCTGCTCACCGCAACTAGAGAAAGCCCGTGCACAGCAACAAAGACCCAACGCAGCCAAAAATTAAAAAAAAAAAAAAAAAAGTAGAAGATCACAATGCCCTATAATAAAGGAAGCTACTGGAAAAAGTTCTCAAGCAATTATCTCAAAAAATGGTTCTGAGCAGCCAGACCACTTAACTGGATAATTCTTTCCAACTAAAGCAATAGTTAATTCTACTGATGCTTTGATTAGTTTCAGGTACAGTTTATGTCTTCTGATACAAAAATCTGATAAATAAAAGAGAAAAACATAAGTTAGTTATGAATAGAGATACAAAAATTCAGCAGTACCTCACAAGAACAGTGAAATGGCATATAGGACTTCTCCTAAGAATAAAGACACAGATTTCATGTTTGGAAACCTATTTGGGGAGAAACTGCTTAGTAAAATAATGCTTAAAAGTAATAGTTATTCAAACTTGAAAAGCAGAGAAAAGCATAAAGAAACAAAACAACTATTATGACAAAACCCACAATAACCACTGTTAGTGTTCTGTTATTTTTTCTCCAATATTTCTTACTCTCTGTGTGTGAGTATGCTTGTGCTGTGTTTTTTTTTTACAAAACTGGAACCACATTTTGTGTGTATGCCTGTGTGTGTGTGTGTGTGTGTGTTCTCAACTGAGGGCAATTTTGACCCTCAGGGAACACTTAGCAATGTTTGGTGACATTTTCAGTTGTCACAGTGGGGGAGGAGGAGGGGGCAGAGTAGGTGCTACCAGCCTCTAGTGGGCAGAGAAGCAAGAGATACAGCTGAGCATCCTTTAATGCACAAGACAAAAAATTATCCAGTGTAAAATGTCAATAGTGCCAAGGTCGAGAAACCCTGATTAATATCCTTTTTTCTTTTAAAAATAATTTCAGCGTTTTCTCACGTGGTAGGCAGAATACCCACACACCCCCGCTCCCCAGATCCTGATTTCTGGACCCTGTGAATTTGTTACCTTGCATGGTGAAAGGAACTTTGCAGATGTAATTAAGGTTATGAACCTTAAAATAGGGAGATTATCGTGGATTATCTGTGCAAGCCCAGTCTAATCACACAAGCCCTTAAAAAGCAGAGAACTTTCTCCGGTTAGAGTGAGAAAGATGTGGCAGAAGGAGGATGGAGAGAGATTTGAACTATGAGAAGGGCTGGATGCGGCGTTGCTGGTTTGAAGATGATGTGGGCCGGGGGGAGGTGTTGTCAGGGAAACAGGTGCCCTTACAGCCAGGAGAGAGGCTCCCAGCTGAGAGCAAGAAAACGGAGACCTCCGTCCTACACCCACACAGAACTGAGTTCTGCCAACAACCTGAGTGAGCCTGGGAGCACATCCCCCTCCAGAGCCTCCAGATAAGGAGCCCAAGCTGACTGGAACCTTGCTTTTGACCTTGTGAGGCTAGGCACAGAGGAAACAGCAGAGCCCACCTGTACTGTTGACCTGCAGAACTCTGAGAGGAGGAAGCTGTGTTGCACTAAATTTATGATAATATGTTACAGCAGCAATATAAAACAAATACATCTGGCATGATTAAAAATTGTCTCATATTCATGAACCTCTTTGTGTGTAAATCTTTGTCTCATCTCATAGACTTTTTTTTTCAAACATTGCTGTGGTCCTCACCAGAATTTTTTTTTCAGTTTATCATCAGCCATATTTGTGAGAAGTGGCTATACTACCTTTGGTGAAGTCATTTAACATGTGTCCTTTAATTTGATAAGTAAAAACATATACCTCAACATTATAATTTTTTAAATTGAAGTATAGTTGATTTACAATATTATGTTAGTTTCAGGTGTACAGCACAGTGCTTCAGTTATTTTTTCTGATTATATTCCATTATAGGTTATTACAAGATATTGAATATATTTTCCTGTGCTATACAGTAAATCCTTGTTGCTTATCTATTTTATGTAGAGTAGTTTTTAATCTGTTAATCCTATACTCCTAATTTGCCCCCCGCCACCACTTCGGTAAGCATAAGTTTGTTTTCTACATCTGTGAGTCTGTTTCTGTTTTGCATATAGATTCATTTGTATTATCTTTTAGATTCCACATATAAGTGATATATAGCATTTGTCTTTCTCTGTCTGACTTCACTAATCATGATATTCTCTAGGTCCATCCATGTTGCTGCAAATGGCAATATTTCATTCTTTTATATGGCTGAGTAACATTCCATTGTATATATACCACATCTTCTTCTTCTTCTTCTTTTTTTTTTTTTTTTTTTTTGTGGTACGCTGGCCTCTCACTGTTGTGGCCTCTCCCGTTGCGGAGAACAGGCTCTGGATGCGCAGGCTCAGCGGCCATGGCTCACGGGCCTAGGCGCTCCACGGCATGTGGGATCTTCCCGGACCAGGGCACGAACCCGTGTCCCCTGCATCGGCAGGCGGACTCTCAACCACTGCACCACCAGGGAAGCCCTACCACATCTTCTTAAGCCAGTTGTCTGTTGATGGGCTCTTGGGTTGTTTCCATGTCTTGGCTATTGTAAATGGTACTGCTATGAACACTGGGGTGCATGTATCTTTCCAAATTAGAGTTTTCATTTTTTTCTGGATGTATACTCAAGAGCAGGGTTGCTGGATCATATGGTAGCTCTATTTAATAATATAACATTTTGTCAATTTTTTATTCAAAAAATTTGAAGTGGCAGATATTTGCTAATTATGTATATTTTAAAAGAACGTCTTAGATTTATCAATTCTGTTTTTCTGTTTTCTAGTTACTTTATTTCTGCCTTTTAAAAAAGTGAATATTCTTTTTTCTTCAGATTTGTTCTGTTCTTCTTCTTTAACATTTTTTTTTATTACTAGTGAAGATAAAACATTTGTTCTCATGTTCATTATGTCTCTGCCTACCAATTGGGGTAAATATTACCTATTTCATAGGTAATAATGATTAAGTGATAATATTAGGC